CTAGACCTGTGGAAAAGTTTCATGAAGTTCGGAATCAAGAAGTCGCATGAAATGATGAGTTACATTCTTGCTTGAATTGCGCTAGTAAGTGAAGGGAATTATAGGCCATCAACCAAACCTTGCTACCTTGCCTAAATGACTTTAATTGAACTCTACAACAAAAGTCATGAAGGGTTTGTATTGAGCACATGTCAAGAAAAGGCCTCAATTGGTTGAAAACTCTAATTCTAGGGTTAACGAGATGCTACTTTGATCAAAGTAAAAGAATGGTTTATATTCAAGATACAAGGTTTGACCTTAAATAAAAGTTGTAGTATAGTTTGTGTACTACAAACTTTATTGAAGGACCTAAGTCTAAATCTATCTCTAAGCTTGACAAACAAAGGGCACATGATTGATTTTGCTGCAGTCTTCAACACTTAGAACTATTCTAAGTCAGTTTCGCTAAGCAACGACGTTGACATTCCGCGTTCTCTGAAATTCGTTAAGCAACTTGAGTTGGTCCGAAAATAAAAGTTGAAGGTTATGTTATGGAGAAGAGAATGCAAAAAGTTGCACTAAGTTTGATCGAGTTTCGACCTCCGAAAGCGAGTTTCCGTGATCGTTGTTAACATATTGACACTATCATTTTGGAGCTTAATTATCCGCTGTTACAGAGCTCAAATGGCCGGGCACCTTAAATAAGAAACATAGATCAGGCCGAGGTGAACAAACTTCGTTTATGGCCCAATATCTAATTTGGCCTGGAAGCGGCCCAAAACGGCGTTCCACCTTGCCCACGCCGCTGCCCGCCACGTGCTCGGTGAAATGCCTCAACGGGCGACACCTATCCATGGACGTGGCCACCATTGACGGGCTTTGCTACCGCGTGCCGCCTCCCTATCGTGTCCCTGCTCGTCCAGAAGGGGATGCCGAGCCTTCCCAGGCTCCCTTTCTCCTCCCTCACTTCCTTCCCTCGCCCTCTCGCTCTCTACCTCCGCTCGCTGCTGCTCGCGGCGAGGCCGCCATGGCTGGCCGCCCAGCAGGCACCGCGCCCAGCCACCTCCGGCCCCTGCCGCTGGCTGTGCCAAGCTGGCCGCCATGGCCCTTCCCCTTGGCCACTTGAGCCACTCCCCAGCCGGCCGAAGCCCTCGCTGGCCGGCCCCCAACGCCCGACGGCGGCCTGTCCTCTTACCTGCTCGGTCTATGGTGAAGAAGGGGTGAAATGCGAATAGAAACTCTTTACTGTGTTCACTTTGCAAAATAGCCAGACACATACATTTACAAATCCGGGCTTGGTTGATTTGTGGAAACTCCTGGGTTCCCGATGCAAAATGTTTTTGTTTTTTTTTTTGGTTTAATCTATTAATTTCAGATTTCTATGCTCAACTTTGAAAATTCGTAGCAATTTGTAGAAAAATCGTAAAATAGCAAATGAGGACTTTTTGGAATCCTTGTGAAATTATCTATGCATTAGATCTATAATATGACATGTTTTAGTTTAAATATTTTGCGGTAAAAATAGATTTGTGCAGTAAGGTTGTAATGCTAGTTGAATTTGTTATTTTCCATAACCGCAGATCTATGGCTCCAAATGAAGTGGAATTTTTGTGGCATGCTACTCATGTGAGAGTTGATGTGTGGTAAAAAATTTATGAGTATTGGATGAAGTATGAGTGAGTTATTGGTTTATCTCGCTCTCACATGATTTCTTACAATAGCAAATTGTCTTTTTCGTAGAGGCAGCTATACTTATGCAAATGATATGAAATTTGTATAGTAGACTATTGAGAGGATATATGAGCTACTGTATTTTTTGTAGAATTTATTGTGCATTTTTGGTATATGTTCATAAATACACCTTGATGTCTAAATAAATTAAGAAATGTTTTAAGAAAATTTATTTAGAGGTGAGCACCATGCTTTCTGGAGTTCTTTAGTCATGTGTGAAATGTTGGTAAAGTTGGTTTTTTCCAATTATGTGTTTGCAACATAAGTTAACAATTATTTTCTTGCCGATGTGGTTTATGGACAGATCTGGGAACTTAGCAAAGTTCTTCAAGATAATGTACTTTGTTGTGAAACTTGTTTATACAAAAGTTGTAGATAATTCATGTATCTAGCTTCTGTTAAAATTTGGTGGTATTTGGTCTTGTGGTTTGTGAGTTATGCCTATTTAAAGTTGGGTTTCAGAAATGACTGCTCTCTGTCAATTGTGGACCAGTTTCTGTAAATATATAATTTTGACCCACTTAACTTGAGCTTCATGCTAAGATGATTAAAGATGAATTGTAGAAAATTCCATAATATTTCCAGAATGTCTTGTTGCATGGCTATTGGATTTGTTTAACTCTAGTTATGATTCAAACATGAAGCTGTTGTTTCCGGTCCTAAAATAGACATATGCAAGTTGTGGTTGTTTACTCCATGTGTTGCTAAGTGTGGCTTATGCCCTTGTTGATGGTCAAGTTATGATGCTTGTGACTTTGTTAAACTTGTGTCATGCTTGATGTGCTTGCTCTCTATAGTTAGTTGTGTGATGTTAGTTAAATAGCTATTGGTGTCTATGTCTTGCATAATCTTGTGTTTGTCTTATGTGATGCATCTTGTGTTACCATTCATCACCTTCATACACATGCATCTTGCATCTCATTTAGGTACGCTAGATGAACCACGTGAAGGATGTGATGTGGAGCTGAACTCGAAGATTGGGTTTGGTGGATCTATCCCGAAGATGGAAGGACTAAGCAAGTGCTAGGACCGGAGATGTCACCAAGTCGGTGCAAGCTAACTGAACTGACTTGTGTCGGATCCCAGGCAAGCCCCGGAGCATTCTAAGCCTCCCATGTTTTTACAAATATCTTGAGTATCTTTTATTGTTGATGATGCATTAAGTATAGGAATTGGTTGGAACCAATTGTTGCATTATATCCCTACCTTGTCCAGATAAAATCATGTGAATCCTAATTAAGTGTAGGATCGAATGATGCTTAGCTATGCATAGACCGGTAGAAGTCGGGTGATTTCCTGTCACCTGCAAGATGTAGGATGAGCTCTGGTCATGGTTGGCTATATTTGCTATCGTGGGAAAAGAACCATGTGTTAATAATGAATGGAGACCGGACGGGATGACGGTAGTGCAACAACAAGGCATGGAGGTCTTGGGTGTGAATCTATCCCTATCTGTGTCATTTAAGTACCGATTCGCTGTACGTCCTCAGGTCATGTTGAACGCAGCCTAACACTTAGCTGGCCGGATAAGTCGTTCCGATCGTGAAGCCTAGTAGCTCGACTCAGGCCGGGGACGCGAGCAGTGGCGTGCATTCTGGAGGTAGTAAGGATGTGCGAAGAGCCATTGGCATAAGTCCAAGGCGGGTTAGAGTCCCGAACAACCTTGGCAGAGTGGTTCTCTGAGAATGTCGATCTGTTCGGACTCGCAACTCCTGAATCGTACCAACGGTGACTTGTTTGCGACCCTGACGGGGGAAGCAGGGTTTGTGCTTAGGAATACCCCTCCAGCTGGATAGGAATCGATTTAAATCGCCGTCTCTCCCGGATAGTGAGAACTTGACTTGAGCAGCGGCAACGTAGATTCACTAAATTTAAAGATATGGTTAAATGATGATGATGATAATGACAATGAGCCATGAAATACCTGATATGGTTATTATTGTTTGCAACTTAATCAAGTGATTGATTAGTACATGTGCTAATATAGATGGTAGGTAATGGCTAAAAGTCACTGCTAGTACAGGTGAATAATGCTAATGGTTACTCAAGCTTTTATGCAAAAAGGTTGTCCAGCCAGATCCACTAAATTAAGCTATGCATGATCCTTGGTGTCATTTGTTTTGGTTTCCAACGGGTAAGTCTGGCTGAGTACATTCGAGTACTCAGGGTTTATCCCACCATGTTGCAGGTGGAGTTCTCGGCCTGTTGAAGATGGTGGCTAACCGCCGGTGGGCTCGGTGATTCTATAGTTACCTCTCATCTATATGCTTTTGTCGGATGATGTCACTTATGCTAGCAATATATTTGGAACTTATATTAATGTAATCATTTGAAAGCTATGTTGTTTTCACTAAGTGGTTTTGAAACCCAAACTTGTACTTTTATTTGTGAACCCATATGTAATATTATTTCCGCTGCAACCCTGTGTATGTGATGTGTATTTGCTAATCACGCGATTTTGGTTGTGATGTTGATTTACCGAGATCTTTCGAGACACTCGGCGGACTACCGGGTTTATATAAGTGAAAGTATGTGTGTGTTAACGTGTTAGCGGGAACAGCCGTACTTGATCTTGTATAAATTGGACGGACAGGGAGTCGTCATTGTTCTCGTTTGGTAGTGGAAGTCAGCTTGTTTAGACTGAGCCTGGTCAATTCGTGTTTGCATCGGGCTAGCAGCTAGCTGGTGACGGGCTACGACATGAGTCACATGAGTACTAATTTTCCGATACTGCTGGCAGGGAGATGCATAGTAGTTTCAGACCGTGCTGCCGAACAAGCTGACATTGACTCGGTGGCGAAATGGCGAGCGATGTTGGGCGCGGTACGCCTTGCTGACATTGACTGGGTCGTGCCGGGCGGCGCCTGCGCGGCAGCGGGCCGAGTTCAGGGCAGCCCCGGCCCGTTTCTCCCCATCTGCTGCCCGGCATGACCGAGCTCGGTCTCACTGGGCAGCCTGGACAAGCTACTAGTCTAACGGTAACGGCCGGGTCAAGTCAAGTCAAGTCTGCCTCGCTCTCTGTCTCTGAATGATGCGTTTCTCAGAAATTCTAAGGCGGGAGATCAAGACTTCAAGAGGGCACGATATGGCTTATGAACTACAGTACAAATCTGAGGCACTTAATGACGCCTATATAAGCCCATGCCTAGCTCATCACACTACATCCTCATTCTCAGTTTTCCTCACAGACACTGCACATCATCTTAGCTCCCTATCCTACTATAGCCAGCCGTGAACGTCCAAACAAACCCAGCTCTGTCTGCACAGCTCCTGCCTCGGACCAGCTAGCAATGGCATCCCAGAGCGTTGAGAGCTACCGCGCCGGGGCAGACGTCGTCAGTGGAGACGCAGCGGCATGCAAGAAGGCCGCAGTTGAGCTGCTCGGAGAGATTGGCCTCCCGAAGGGCCTCTTCCCGCTGGACGACATGCAGGAGTTCGGCTACAACCGCGAGGCAGGGTTCATGTGGCTCGTCCGGGGCAAGAAGAAGGTGGAGCACACGTTCAAGAAGATCAAGCAGACGGTATCGTACGCCGGCGAGGTGACGGCGTTCGTGGAGAAAGGCAAGCTGAAGAGGATCGCGGGAGTGAAGACCAAGGAGCTGATGATCTGGCTCAGCGTCGTGGAGGTGTACGTTGACGAGTCAGCGCCTGGCAAGGTCACCTTCAAGACTGGCACTGGGCTGTCTGATTCCTTCGACGCAACTGCGTTTGAGCTTGGCATGTGAGAGCATATGGAAGCTTCTTAGTTACCAAGTGATGAAAGCTGTGCGGCGTATAGTTGTGTGTTTTTTTTATCAAAGTTGTTTAGCGTCATTTCCTTCTACATGATTTTCCAGATTCCATGTAACTCCTCCTTGTTTAATCATTTTCGTTGTAACGAAGAGTCCTCTTTTATGAAATTCTATCAACCCATATTCAACTGAATTATTTGTAGCCAGAATTTTTTTTTGTTTGTTTCTTCCGACCTTAGAGCGTCCGCAATGTGGAGAGAACCGACCCTGGGTTTTAGATGGGCGCTACACATGATTTGACGTGAGCTGTCATATTGCGAGCGATGTTTAGAACCAGGACCCAGCTCCATGTTTGGACCCCACACCAATAAAAAAATTCTCACGAACGTCTCGTTGGAGGCCAACAGCAGGAGAGAGAAGTAGAGTGGCAAGTAAAGCGTAACTTTTTTTTGGTTCTTGGAGGCAGGTTCGATGGAAGGACGCGACTTCTTCATGGGATCGACCTTGGAGTGTATAGTACCAGGTTCGATCATCGCATTTAATGCATGGAATCGGCTGGGCCGTTTGGCCGGGCTCTTGCCTGTTCCGGCTCTCAAACTGCAGGAGCACTGTAGCACGCGTAGGAGCCGGAGCAGCGAAGCCAAAAAAAAAAAATACTGGCTCCGGCAGCTGCTTCGTTGTCAGTGAGAGAGAAGAGGATGAGAGAGAAAAACAGATTCTATACACAGTGTAAGGAACAGTGCTGCTACAATAAATGTCAGATGGAGCCGGAGCTGTTAGGAGCCCGGCCAAAGGGGCCCGAGCGCATTCTGCAGAGGCTCTTAGCAGCCATGTTCCTACGAGGGAACGGAAATGTGGAACGGAACGGAAACAGAAACGGAGACGTTCTCGTTTCTGGAACGTGGAACATGTTACCGTATCCAAGCTGCTAAGCTTCCGACCAGTCGAGCTTCATTGGTAAAAGTCCCAGAACGGCTACAGATTGTCAGTTGACAAAGGTAATTTTAATGATAGCCGGTTAGTCAATAGAAAGTTGCGGGCCTGGCTTTAACCCAGCACAGGAACGAACAGCCGAGGTTTTAGAGGTGGCATGGATGGACCAATGTACGCGGATTCTGTGGAACTATTCTTATTTAAACATTAGTTATGTGCAATAAGATTTTTCTAACAATTGACGCCACGGAAAACATTTGACACAATAATTTTTTTGAGAATTACACAGTAATATTGAAATATTTATAAAACCAAAATTAATCCATCTTAAATTCTCCATTTTAATCAGAGAAGCTAAATTAATGTGCAGTAGGAACACTGCAACGTCATTGGGCAATATGCTTAGAACAGTGTCTCAGGGACTCAGGGTCCCATAGGAATACCGAAATTTTATAGGAATTATATAGAAATTCTACATGAATTAGTTCATTTTCAAAAGAAAACATAGGAAATAGAAAAAATTCCTTCGTTCTAAAGGGCACCTTATAATCATAAAATAATATTGAAGTGCGTTGAAAATTATAAGACTAAATATAAGACCCCCTTTGGAACGTAGGATAGAAAAACATATGAATAAGAAAAACGTAGGAATTAAGGTGCTATGTTTCTCTAATTGTATAAGAATTGATATCATAGTAAAAAAAAAGATGAGAGGGCCTCCCGTAGCACCTTAGGTAAAACAGAGGAATTTGATCGATGCTTTATTTTTATTTTTTCAAAATAATCTAACAACTAGTCGTTGAACATTCAAAGCAAAAGGCTATAGCCATTGCAAGTGCTAATGTGCCTACATATACACCACACCTTTGTATATATACATTTGCATTCTATAGAAACCCTAACACAACAAACTCATTTCCAAGCACGTCGAACGATCTGATCAGACACTTCATATGGTACTCAATCCGTCCTAAAATAAATAACTTTCTAAGATTTTAAATTTATCCTACAATAAATAATATTCTATGTAAAGATGAAACATTGCCTCCTAATGCAGAATCTAATAATGAGTGCATGCAAACGATAACTGTGAAATACAAATATATCCTTTGGGAAAGGAAAGAAGGTGAGGATACATGCGTCTTTTGTCAACTTTCTTATTAACCTGTCTGAAAAATTCTAAAAATTTATTATTGTGAGACGAAAAGAGTATATCATAAGTCTCATAATTTAACTTTTCTTTATGTAGACGAGTATTGTGCTGATGTCGTTGGCGGCAAGCGGCGTCGTGGAACATTTCAATGAGTATATCAATTGTTTTAATGAGCTCTTTATGAAGGACAATTTAAATTATCAATGAGCTCTTTTTGCTTCTCCGATTGAAAAGAGTATTGTGCAATGGCTATAGCTTTTTGCTTCTGTGGTTGGCAAGGGGCATCGTGGGCTGTGCTCCGGTCGGGGCGAAGGGGCTTCGGCGGAGAAGCTAGAGGGAATCAGGAACGCGGTTCTGCGGTGGCGCTCGAAAGGATTCGCCTGACTCTTAGGACGGAGAGAGATGCAGTTATGAGAAATAAGCTGCGAGAAGCAACCCTTCCCCTCCTCAAAAAAATCCACTCGTAATTCATTTCCGAGAAGCCCACCTGAAAAAAACCATGAGATGCACACACCTAATCTTCATACTCCACCAACCATCTTGCTTAGGGCCCGTTTGGCACAACTCAGCTTCATCAGTGAGCTTCATGTGCAGCTTTCTCGGTGGCTGAGCTGTTTTGAAAAAATTATTTGGCAAAACAACTTCACCAACAACTTCATGCATGGCTAAGAGAGGAAAATGAGGAAAGAGCTATGAAAAGCTACTTTTTTCGGTTTCACCTCTCTGCATTCCATTGTGAGAAGCATAAAAAAAACTTCATCACATGAGTTGTTTTGAAAAAAAAAAGTATTTGGCAACAAAATAGCTCACAATAGCTCATAAAATTGTTAGTAAAACTGTGCTAAATAGACCCTTAGATTCTATGTTCTTTATGTTTGGCGCCCTTTTTTCATTTTAGCTTAAAAACATAGGACCCACTAGCACATGCGACTAGGAAGTGACAACACCAGACACGTGGGGGCATGCATGCTAATATGGATTAAGAAAGTATTTTTCTTTTAAAATAATGAAAGTCGTCCATTGGTCACTAATTAAGCTAAACGGGCTCCTCTAATAATGTCATAAACAGAAATAAATTGCTCTATTGTCGTCACATCATATTCTTTATAAAAGATCTAATTTATTGTTAATATATGTTGTCATATTTATTGATGAGCGGGACGTCTTCTTTAAAGTTGATGAAGATGATCGATATAATCAAAAACTTATACAAGTCCTATAAATCAAAAGCGTAGGTCCGACAAATAATATTGTAATACTTTTATGTATATTTGGAACTATTAGAATGGTGTTTGACCTATTGTAACTGAATTGTGGAGGAGATTTTTATTACCATTGCCTAACTGTTAAATGGAGTTACCAAGTCACAAATAAATTTCGGGTGTGGGAAGGAAAAGAAAATGACCCATGTATATCATACTGTAGCAAATTATCCAGATATGTTTCGTAAGAGAACAATGACCAATATGAAAATGTAACAGGATGGCTTTATTTATTTTGTATATAGAGCGACGGGTGGTTTTTATTCGACCAGTGCGTGCACGGTACAAGGAACACAACAACAATGGCGAACGTTACTGGTAGTGCATGTGCATGTGCATGTGCATGAACTGCTCTGGACTCCACGTGATCTATCTACATGCATATGCATGCAATATGCATATAGTGCTAGTCGTCCAAACACGTACGGGGACCATGCACATGCATCTAGCTAGCTAGTCTAAACCAGAGGGTTTTTAGACCTATGATCGTCGACGAACAGCTTCATGTCCTCGACGAGCTTGCCGGAAGCAGCGATCTCCGGGAACGCGTAGAAGCCATGGAAGGCGTCCGGGTATTCGACCACCCTGACCAGCTTGCCCTTGGCACGCAGCGTCTCCACGTACCTAGCTGGCGTGCCAGTCCTTGAGCAGGTCGAACCCACCACTCACCACCATCGCCGGCGGGAACGTGTCCGCCAGCTCAACGCCCTCCCCTCAGACGCGCGCCGCCGGGTGGTCTCGTGTGGCTCCCTCAGGCAAGAACTCTCTCCAGTAGTGATCAGCTCGAGCCACCGTCAATATGCGGCAGGCCTTGTCCAAGGCCAGCTTCAGCCTCCGTGCGCTCCTCCCCGCCGAAGAACGGCTGTATGAGGACGGCCCCGGCCAGGCGGAGACGCATGCGCAGGGGAGGTGGTGGTAACGCCGTCGCCGACGACATGGACGAGGACGACGCCCAACGCTGGGCGACGTGGTGAACCATGTTGGCCCCCGAGCTGTCGCCAATGAGGAAGCAGCTAGAGAGGTCGACGGCGTGGACCGGTACGAGGTCGGCCGGCAGTGGGGTCTGGTTCTCGTCGAGGTAACGGAGCGCGGCGACGCCGTCGTTGTACGCTGCCCGGAAACGATGCTTGGGGGCGAGGCGGAAGTTGACGGACACGACGACGGCCCGGAGCTCACGACAGAGGCGGCGGCAGAAGGCGTCGTACGTAGGGGCGGGACGACGGGGAGAAGAGCACGAACCCGCCGCCGTGGAAGTAGACAAAGACGGGGAGCGGGGCGGCGTCAGCGATCGGCGCCGAGGGGCAGAACACGCGTGCCCAGAGGCCGCGGGAGGCGTCAATGGTGACGTCGGCGGATCGGACGTCCGAGGCGTTGTTCGTGCTGGGCGTGGTGCCCGCCTTGAGGTCGCCGAGGAAGACAACGGGGCGCCGGATACTGCCGTCTAGGCGGTGTGCCGCCGCGAGGACGGCTGCCTTGATGCGCACCGTCCACGGCAGGGACGGCGTGCGGCGGGAGGCCTTCTTGGAGCTGCTGGCCATTTCTTGTTTAATTTGCTTTGGGATGGGCAGTGTCGAGTGTGTGCATAGGCTGGGACAACAGGAGCTGTGCGAACGTATCCTTTGGTGCAGCTCCGGCGCCTCTGGCTCCTCCTCTCATTTCCTGTAGCATCACTGTGTGCCACTGTAGCAAGAAGTCATTTTGCTTTCCGAGAAGAAAAATGAACTACAAGGAGAGGAGCTGAAGAAGCCACGATTTACAACTTCACCGGCTCCATGCTACAGTATCACTACATTATTGTAGCGTGAGGAACCGGAGCTACAAGGAGCTGTGTCAAACAGCCCCTAAAACCTACCGCAGATGGCTGCCGCGAGAGCGCTCCACAGGCACGCTGACACGTGGCCTAAGCAGTTTTACAAAAAGACACACTGATTTTATGTAAATCAATCCGTAGTTCTGTCTAACAAGGAAGGTACAGTATACATGTTCATTTATCTTCCACTGACACCCTCAATCAAAAATGTATTTCAACATAAAGAAGACAAAATTTGAGAACCTCGTCGTTTTAGCATAAAACCGTCCGCTCACAATTTTGCAAGGAACCCTCTCCCTGCCAGCGCTCCCAGCCCCCAGCCCCCAGCCCTAGCTCCCCCGCATTCTTCTTCTTCTTCTTTCTCTCTCTCTCTCTTCACGCACGGTCGCAGCCGCCGCGATCCTCTCTGCTAGCCGCAAGCACCTCCTAGCTCGCTCGTTGTCTCCGGCGGTCGCCGCGAGTGGTGAGGCGGTGCTCGCTCGCGAGGGCACCGTCGCGCTCAAATCCGTCCAAATTTTCCGTGAAGTCCGACGTGCTTCTGCAGTTGGTGGGGGCGGAGCCGCCAGCCTGGCACGGAGAAAGCAAGCAGTGTGGCGGCGGTGCTTGGTGCACATGAGCGCGTCCAAGAGGCCAGGCGCAGCGTAGGGTGGCCCACGACCAAGCGTGGTTAAGGTTGAAGCTACGCGCAAAGGGACCACGGGAGCTGTAGATCTGTGATGGCGGCGGCATCGTTGGCGCTGGATTAGGGATGAACTCGCTCTCCACTGTGTTGATGCTCAGGTGAGATCCCTGGGTTTATGCTCCCGCACTCCCCGTTCCAGCTTCGCCCCCAGCCTCGGCCCAGCCGCAAGTTAGGTCGGTCGACCGTACTTTCACGCAAGCGCCGGTTCCCGGCCACGAGGCCTTGCCTCTCTGCACTCACCGCCGACACCAGCAAGGGCTAGGTGCTGGACCCACGGCTCCTACAACAACCGCACCGAATTGAATGAACAAACTACGAAATTTTACGCAAGAACAGATGCCCTGTAACCCTCGTTCTTCATCCAACCGTGCTAATTGAGTGAAAAAGGAGCAGAATTGTGGGTGCTCACTATGGTTCTCGCCGCCGAACCCTGTTTTGTCAGTGTAGACCCCTAGTCGAACAGTTAAGCCACAGGTGCTTGAAGGTGGATGTCGGTGAAGTCGATCTGGATCTTCTCGCGAGCCGCGACTGCAGTAGTTGTTGCGCTCGTACTGAGATCGTGTTGACCCAGAAAAGCCACAGCACGGACCTACGGGATCCCGGCGAGTTTCGAACTTGGCTAAACCGCGAGATCAACCTGCCGCTGGGGTTTACAATCCGGATCGAAACACTCACTGCAGCACGGAACAGAAGCAGATGATGCAGATTGCCGCGAAGTTGGTGGAGTAAGGACGTCGGACCACTGGATCCGCCGCCGTGTCGTCGTCGGAGTGCCGGATAACTAGTGGCGGTGAAGAGCGGAGGTCGCTCGCCACCCACACCGAGGATACGTCGTCTCCAATACCACTTGTCACACCTTTGGCCACCGGCGATCGCCGTCGACGTGTGCACGAACACGAGTACGGATACGAGGACGCCGGCGAGGCTAACCCCTCTGCCTTGGCGATTTCTGGATTTAGTTCAATGTCTGAGTGTCCGGACAGCATACAGGTTCGGCACTTATGTGCTCTTACAGACACTGGCCACCTGGGCCCACATGGCAGTTTAACAAACTAGAAAACGTAAATAGACAAGTGCGCCACTAAGTAAATGACACGGCTTCCTTCTTCCTTCCTCTGCTTCACTGTGCATCGTCCGGCACGACAACACACAAGATCCTGCTAATCCCCTTTGTCACACATATCAATGTTCTATCTTTGATTGGCGATTTCCATTACACGTCAATCATTCTGCTGTGGCGGAGGTACTTAGAGGCAGTAAACGTGATTGGCTTCCTTGACTCGTGTTCCAGTTCGTCACGCTCGCAGAGTTCTCGAGCAGGAACAAGCATTTGATTCCCCATCCCAGGCGTGATATCTTCGCCTTCAACAAGGATCATGTTTTTGCCTCTTGACGGTATTACCTATCCATTTTCCTGTGTTTAATTTAGCGTTGTGCTCCTTTGATTGTGATGTTACGGATTAAGAGGAATTGATTTGAAATCACCGTGCCCAGCAAAGTATGAGCCTTCCAACCTCGGGAAGATGTTTTCTTTGGGAGTATTGATATATTCCTTTGTGCCCTTTTGGTTCCGCAATGGTAGTTCCCATCGTCAAGTCATTGCCGTCTTGATGTGCATCCCAAATGTGTTTGTTCAGATCGTCACATCCTGTAATAAAATTAGGAAACATTGCATCGTCCAAATTTGTGATAGATATTTAATTTGCTATTGATTTAGATAGCCACACTCTATATTCAACATGATCTGGCTCAGCGTCGTGGAGGTGTACGTCGACGAGTCAGCTCCTGGCAAGGTGACTTTCAAGACGGGCACTGGGCTCTCTGACTCCTTTGATGCAACTGCGTTTGAGCTTGGCATGTGAGCCTGACCAAACTCAAACATTGTGATGTCCGCTGAAGGAGATAGTGCTGCTACAAAATTAAACCACATGATACATGTTGCTAACTGTAATCAGAATTTGAATTATATGTTTTATTTGGAATTTTCCATGCATGCCTGCAAAGTTTTGTATCATCCATTCATATTTGGCCTTGTTTAGAATTTTAGGAGACTACATAAAATTCAAATAATTTTAAGCAATGAACAAAAAAAAGTAGAGCATGCTATAAAACTGGTTTCATATTTTTTGAGTTAATACAAATTTTATATTATTTTCCTAATACTAAGTATTTTTAAATGCATATTTATTCTAGAAAATTTGAATATTTGTTAAATATTATTTCTATTTTTTGAAAGTTTAAATAGCCTTACTCGTTATCAATAGGGCACCATGTAAGGGGGTTAATGTGGCGTTACATCAATTAAAAGCCACTTTTAAATTGTTTATTAGGGAGGTAAATTGGACGGTTCTAAGAGTGAGGGAGTATAAACAACTGATTTTATTATTAAGGACGGAAAATCAAAATTACACGGGTTAGATAGTGTCGGGTTCATAAACCCGGGGTCCCTCGGGGATCAGCTTCCACGCCAAGGCTCGACCCGAGAGTCTAAAAACAACAGGGCAAAGGGGCGGTCCAGCAACCGACCGGAAGGCCTGGTCCAAGAAGAGCAATGCCCGCTCGTTAGCTACTTCGGCCCACCTATCCGACCGAAGTGCTAGCTTCGGGCTCCAACCGCCTCCGGACGGCCTCTCCGATCGGAAGGCCTGTCCCAAGCCCTACTTCCGACTCCGACCCCGCGTCTCTCCGACCGAGGTACGTAAGAACCCTGCTCGCCGCTCTTCTCCGACTGGTGCAACCGAAGCCGACTAGGGCCATCCGACCGGGGACGCCCGCTCAGAAAGGACCAGGGATGAACGGAGAAAGCAGCACGTGAGTCAAACCACGGTACATGGACCATACCCTGCACACCTGTGGGAATAGTGCTCCACAACCACCCTGGCACAAACAGTATTGTAGGCGTCGTTGGACTCCCGTACGGCAAAAAGCCCCTCACATACCTATGGGCATCAATAGTGTTGTAGGCGCCGGGATTCACCATACCCGGTAAACGTGGTGAGACTCCTCACATGCCTCTAGGCATCCAGTAGTATTTTGCAGGTACCGACGTCAATCCTTCCTGAAGAAGACAACGTAACCTCCCATGTGCACCTGACATTTTACAGTGACATCAACAGTGTTGTGGGCGCCTACCATTATCCAATCCTCATCGGCATGGGCAACAAGGCTTAAAAACATTCGTACCCTCTTCCTCTCACCTGTAAAGCCATCCTCTTCATCTATAAAAGGGGATGCACTCCCTTCAACAGAGGGGGGATTTATTCAAGCTCAGTTCCTTTAGATTCATTAGTCCAATAGCTCACAACCACAGAACCACCAGGTTCGGACCTCAAGCACACGCTTGAACACTTAGCTCATAGCGGAGTTCCCGTCGCTCTCGGCCCTTCCGACTGGAGCCGACCGGGCCTCTAGTACCCCCATCTTTCTCCTTCTCGTTTGTAACCTCACTGCAGACTTCGAGCACCTGGGCTCAGGAATAAAGTCACCGACCGACCCAAACTGAATGTAGGGCACGCTGCCTGAACCAGTATAAATCCTATGTCATTGAGTGCTAGGCCACCTTCGATCACAATGTACAACAAAACTATAAATATTTACTAGTTGGTCACTTTCTGTACCGATAGTTGGCGCCGTCCGTGGGGAAGACGATGTACGTTCAACACTTTTGGTCATCGGATGGCCCATTTTTTCGCCACCCCTGCTGTGGCAGGCTCGGTCGATACGATTCACTTCGGCTCGCTGGAATCTCCCGTACCCTCACCTGCTGGGATGCGGGTTCCACCCATTTTCGAGCTGTCCCAGGCCTTCCTCTTCGGGAGCCTAGACTTCATCGCCGACCGGCTCGGCGTACTCCACCTCTACGAGGAGACTCGCGACCCGGCACCCGTTGGAGAGACGTCCTCCATCGACTCCGGGACACGCGACCTCGACAGCGCGGCATCTGCGCTTCATTCTGAGCAAACTACGTTCTATCTTCCGCCAAATAGCCGGAGGGTTGCCGTTGTCCCCGTCGCTGCCACCATACGACCGGTTCCCCTATGGCCTCG